CGTGCATAACGAGAACTTCTCGTACGCGGCACAGGATGCATGAGCAAGCGAGGACGCGCAGCCCGGCCTCGGGGATGTATATAACGGCCGTCGCGACTCACGTACGTGCGTTCCCTGTTTGCCCATCCCCCCCGTCACTGACCGCCCTTTACAGATAGTGCCCATTGCGGCTTTGGTTCTGTGCGCGGATTGTGACGAAGCGAACACCCATCTCTTCCCGTCTACAGCACGCACGTATATAGTGCCTCCTGCCAAGTTCTGTTGGTCCCTTCGTGTCGTCGTGATCGCCCACCTTGTTCTGTGCCGGGTGCTTTCGTCCGCACTCGCGATCCTATACTTGGCCGAGATTCGTGGCTTGAATGAAGGAGGGGTGCTGAGTGGACTCCCAAACTATCGTCGCGCTAGCGATCCCCCAGATTGTACATAGTCTAGTCCTGTCTGTGCTGTAGCACTCTATATGTCGATACACTGCTCTGCATGAGTAGCTACCCTGTATCTATTGCACGCACGCTCTTTCAATTCAATGGAATATATATTGCATTTATGCTCGCAGTGACCACAAGGAAAAAAATGAATATACCCAGTCCGAGCAGAAGGCTTTGTGTGCAGCTTCCGCATATCCCGCATTTTGACAAACACCCGCACTGACACGTCGTAGCCAGCTTTGTTTTCCAGCTGGCAGTCAGGGTGAACTGGTGCCAGTGTGCTGATATGTCCTCAGCTTCCTGGAAACCAGCTGTTCGCGGGCGTCACGCAGGTGACGGCGCTTCCTCGTCCCGATGCGCCGCTCAGCTTACGGCCAGCTTACGGCCGACTTGCGGTGTAGATGGCAGTGGAATGAAGATACTGAAGGTCATCGTACATCGTGGTCCTGGTCAAGAGCCGTCGAGGGCCGTATTCCCGCAAGCGCCCACTCAGCCGGGACCACGCTGAAATCTACACCCTGAGCGCGAGAAGACAGCTGTCAGAGGTGCTGATGCGGTGATGGCGCGACTTGGACTCGACGACCTCCACCAGCGTCGTCTACTGGTCGTCGAGAGCGTCGTAGCGAGTGCAAATATCTCTCTGGCGGGTATCCGGCTCGAGCGGAGGATATGAATATTGTCTCAGTGGTGGATGGATATTGTGCGCGTTTCAGACGGAGAGGCCGGTATGTGCGTCCCACGTTCTGTGATCCGTATACTCTGAGTGCTCACGAACGCGATAGTGCATAGATATACAGTACATTCTGCGAGCGTAGTAGCGTTGCGGGAATATAAATTGCGATTTTTTGTCCACAAAACGGCGCTGTCTCGCACAACGGGCTCGCTCATCTCGGCGTCGCGTCTCACCGGGTACAGGCCTCGACCAAGCTGCTCGCGTTTCATGCATACTGGCCAGAGTATATAATCCAGGCCGTGCGCTGGTGTTATTGACAACCCACAGGACTCCTTCTGTCCTCCCCCTTCCACTCCCGGCTTCGGACGGCATTTCCCGTTCCGCGACATCGCGAGCGCCCGCGCACATTGCCGGGCCTCGACGTGCTGGGGTCGTGTTCGAGGGCTTCGTGCGGTCTCTGAGCGTCGGTTCGGGGGAGTGCACCTCCCGGATACAGGCTGCCGTTGATTGCCGTTTCTTTCGCGCGATTCTCTTGTGCTTCGACCATTCTCTCTCTTCGGCCCGGGTCTGCTCTCCTTTGAGTGGGCTCGCGAAACGTCGTGCGTCTGGGGTATGGTTGCAGTTATGTGATGCCCTGCTGTGACCTTCACCGGACGTCGTGGTCGAACGCCTCGTGCGGGGGGTTGAGCCGGACCTACTTCTAGTAGTAAGGACTGTCCCCGCGCGAGTGACGACGTTTGCTTTTGCCCGAGGCGGTCCATCCTGCCCAGGGACCGCCTGGTTAGGCGTGTGTGGCGTAAGCGTCCGTGCTTGTGATGTCCTGCCGGACGTGCGCGCCTGTGGCTACAGCGAACCACGCGGATATGGCGTTCTGCGGCGGCCCCTCTGGGGTTCCTACGTGCGGGACACTTCAGTCCTTCTGGTTCACTGTCCACGCCGAGCTGGTCATTGAGCGCCGTGCGGGTTGCGAAAGCGCCTGTCGTGGCTGCGTCAGTCGTGTCTGGGTTCGTCCCGACGGCTGGCGACGACGTTCAGACCTGAGCGAGCCTGTTCCGGAGTGCGAGTTCGAGACGTCGACTCGCATGAAGGAACGGGCTCGGCGCGCTGAATGCGGCGACGCAGATCACCTATTTTTTCCTCCCCCTACATGGCTTTGCCGTGTTGCGATTCTCGCAGTCGTACTGCTCATAGCATGATCGTTCAGATCACGCGCGATGTCTTCGCTTTGTCGGTGAGTCTCGATCTTCTCTGTTATCTGCCGCGCTCACATCTTCTGCCAGGCCGCGGTGCGACTCGCCCATCACGTCTACCCGATGCATCATCTTCATGGCGCGCTATAGGCTGGAGCACAGTACTCAAGTAAGCGATCTGTCTCGTTCCCCACCCTCGCCGATGGCTTATGCGCCTCGCAGACCGTGCATTGAGAGGGGGTAAGTGCATCTTCGCTCAGCGTCTCGTAGTCCCGCCGTATCTTCCGCGTTGTAGCATATATTGTTACCACTCCAATGTCATTGTGATGCTTGCTGTTCAAATCGTCGCGGTCGAACTGTTTCAAGGCATCGCTTGACACAGTAGTTCAAAAATCGTTGAGTTTGAGATAACAAGTATGACAAAGGCTCGCGTCACGCGTGGTCTTCTGCGGGCCGACGGCTTTTTCCATGTTCTTTCTCGCAATGCCACAGGCGACTCTCCGTATGAGTAGACTTTCACCTGACTCGGCCCACAGATATCGTGAGAGATAGAGTATGGGAGATACTTGATAACAGGGCGTGTATGTATACAAATCGAGGCAATGAAAAACTACAGGTAGACAAGGACCGCGGGTGTGGTACTGGACTCAAGCTGCCAACCTTCTCGCCGTACCGCTGACGGCACGCGCGGCTCACTCCTCTTCCATCGCGACGTGCGCTAAACCCTTCCGCTGACGCAGTAGAGCATCGAGAGACTTCATGGCTTCGCTCGAGATCCAAGATGGAGTGTGGAGAGTCGTCAGGTTCCCGAAGAGAGAGGGCTTCGCGGACAAGTCGCGTAGAACGCCTTCGGCAGCGCTGTCGCCGCATACCAGGGTACGCAGATGCGGTAGACGAGCGAGGCTGTCCATGCCACCGTGCAGACAGACGAACGATGATACCGCAGGATCGTCTGAGAACAGAGCCAGCGTGTCGAAGGGGTGCAGAGCCGACTGTACCACGCTGCCAATAGTGAAGAGGCCCGGGGCAGGCGCCATGAAGAGCGCGCCGAGGAAGGCCTGGACGACGTCTCGAGATCTGGCGTCGCAAGTGAGGGTGAAGTGTAGGTTGGCGTCGAGCTTGTGTGAGAACGGGTCCGTCAAGTCGAGGGGATGCGCGGAGGCAAGAATGGTTGTGGTTGTCTGTCCCGAGGGCCCGGCGCGATGGGTGATGCAGAGCGAGCGCAGCTCAGTCTCGGCGTGCGACATGAAGTTCCTGAACTGGTCGGTGAAGATGCCATTGAACATGGTTCGGAAGGCAGCTTTATTGAACGACGCATCGGGAGTACAGGAGAGCGACATGACGACACGACGAAGGGGCTCCCCCGGACCGATGATCTTCGACATGACTGAGAGTATGTCCAGAGACTTCGCCGTGAGACGTATCTCGCGCAGAGAGGGCAGACACATGGCGCGATAGGAAAGGTGCTCTTGGTCGTGGCTATAGCACGCGTCCCCGAAGTCCATCGAAAGCTGTTCGAGACGATGATGGGGCCAGTCAGGGTTCTCGGCGAAGCCACGTAGCCAGAGTGGGGTGTACTGCAAGCCCTGCCTTTCGCGTTGAGTAGCATCGCTGAGTGTGATGTCGAGAGATTCCAGCCCCCACGGTATTTCCAAGGACCCGCTCAGGGGCCATACGCCGTCGATAGATATGTGGCGGAGTTTGGGGAACAGAACCGAATTCACCCACAAGAGATTGTACCAGTCCTTAGGCCACCAACCGAACCTTTCCGCACAGATGATCTCCAGAGCCGCCTCCAGCACAGTCTTCTTCAAGGAGATGTGAAGCTTCTCTACGTCAGGGAAAGAGAGCTTGTTCCATATCTGCTGCTCACGGAACTGCAAGAACACGTTGGGCGATACGTTTATGGCTAGTTCGCGCACGCGTTTCACCAGGCGCTCCGGGCGGCGACCTCCCGTTGGTACAATGCGCCGAGCAAAGGGAGCGAGAGCATCGCAAAGTTGCTTGCGGAAGTCCGGCTGCTCGAGATGTGGGGCCCAAGGAGCCATGCTGAAGTTCATCCCGAGGCGCAGCGGTAAATCTTCCGACCTGGCCAGGTAATTGGCTGCGTTGATTGATGAGGCTCCGGCCGGGATGTCTGTCCAGAGTCGGCGCATGTCGAGCGCTACATTTCGCCATTGGCGACAGACTGAGGCTAGGACTATCTGAGGGGGCGCAGGGTCCTTGCTGGTCTTGACCTTGAAGAGCGCGTCGAGGTGGGTGAAGTGTGCTTCGATGACGAAGTCGAAGATGGTGTAGAGGACATCGTCGGGAAGATTTCGAGGCGCTGACTGTCGCGGGGGAGCGATCAGCTTGGTGGCGGGTGCACGCAGGATGATCGCATGGCTGAAAGTAGAGATGAAAGAGGAGACATCAAGGCGACGGCGTTTATTCAAGTCAGACAGGCGGTCTTCAATGTTTGACCGAGCTCGCTTAAGGACTCGCAACATGATGATAGGAAGGGTTTCGCGAGATCAGGTAGAAGTAAGATGCAGAGTGAGGGATGAGAGTAGGAGGTAGGTAATGCGCATGCGGCTTGACGGAATTCAACTTGACGCAAACTCCGCACGCAAACGTCAAGACGACAAGGGCAGGACGGTCATTTGCAGTAGCCAACAAGCATTGATATTGGGCAAGCGCTCGCGAGAGCTCTCTTGCGTATACAATATTGTGCGCATGGCGCCCACATTCGTGGACGGAACCAAGTTTGACTCAGCGTGTCGTCCCGGAAAGTCAACCTAGTTTCTCGTGAGAGTCCACTTCGGAGATTGCCGATCAACGCTGCACGTGCCGACCGACGGCGCGAAATCCTCGCCCTGCACGTCGAGCTCGCCGACCATCGCCCGTCGCCGCGCGCCTCAAGACCACCGCCGCTCCCTTACCCTCCTACCCACTCAAAAAATCCAAAATGCCGGGTGTTCGTGACATCAGGTGCGTTTAATCGATTTAAAATGCGAGCGGTGTGGCAAGTCCTCCGCCCGCGGCCAGCGCGTCTCTCTGACGCGGCTGCGCAGCGCGGAGGCGTTCATCACCGCCTACTCGTCCCACCTCAAGCGCTCGGGCAAGCTCGAGGTCCCCACGTGGGTCGATATCGTCAAGACGGGCAACTTCAAGGAGCAGGCCCCCTACGACCAGGACTGGTACTATGTCCGCGCCGGTGCGTCGATCTATTCCATTATTTTAATCATATAGTATATTGATTATTTGTGTGTAGCTGCCGTAGCCCGTCACATCTACCTCCGCAAGGACGTCGGTATCGGTGCGCTCGCCCGCCTCCACGGCGGCCGCAAGCGCCGCGGCAACCGCCCCTCGCACCACGGCGACGCCTCGCGCGCCGTCCAGCGCAAGGTCTGCCAGAGCCTCGAGAAGATCGGTGTCCTCGAGCAGACTGAGAACGGCGGCCGTCGTATTTCTCAGGATGGCCAGCGTGACCTCGACCGTATCGCCACTGCTGTCGTTGAGCAGGAGCGTGAGGAGGAGGAGGAGGAAGAGGAGGAAGAGGAGGAGGCTGCTGAGGAGGAGGAGGATGAGGAGTAAATCTGCTCTTTCTCTGTACTCTTCGCTCTCGCTCTGGTTGCTCTACACATGTATGCCCCGGCTGGGGTTGTATGTACGCATGGCTTTTCACTCTGCTGTCGCTGTTCTATGTCCACATGCAATTTTACTGCAAAAATGCGTACCACCTGGCATGCTTCTGATGTCACATTGAGTCTCATCATGCCGCACGCACGGAGTAAAGGTTTCTCTGTGTAAGGGTTCTATGTTCACACTGACAGCCGAGGATACGTCTTGTCCGCGATCCATCATGCGGACGATGGTTTGATTGAACGATCACTACAGTGAACGTAGTAGGGACGTCTGTCCAATCTCTGCCCATCTCGTCGACTGTAGCCTGTAGCCTGCGGCTTATTAGCTAAGGTACAGCGAACGTGGATGGACACGAGTGCAATGAGAGTAGCTGACGGCTTTTTCCCCTTCCTAACGCATTGTCCGCACTTGGTGCACTAGGTTAGATTCCGTTAGATGCACCAAACGCAAGGAGAAGGCGACATTCCTACGCGGTCTGTTTGGCGTAGTACGTGTACGCCTCTAACATCACAGAGCTGTGCAGTTCCCGCCATTCACTGTCAGGGCGTAGCCCGCACACCCAGTCGAGCACAAAGCGTGGACCTCGTGCGGCGCAAGCCATAGTTGGCTGTAATTAATTCGGGAAAGCGTGGCCGAGATCTTGGATCGGTGATGGGTCCTGATGGGTCCCGCGGAAAGGTGATATTACCCGCAAAGCCATCAACGGGAGCACTCAGGTTTCCTCCTCCCTCCCCCGTCGTCCTTCCGGCTGGCCCAGCGAAGTACTGTACATAGCCCACCATGAGCGCAAACGTGACGATTGTCCCGTCCGACTTGCCCAACAGCTTGAACTTGTCGCCTCACTTGTCGGCCCACAAGTATTTCTATGTCTGCACCCTGACGGTCGCGGCATGGGACTCGCTCGTGTTGAGCCCCAGGACGTACAAGCTTTGGAAGACCGAGGGGTGGCCGGTGCTCAAGTCTATATTCTTCTTACTTAGGCTGCTTATGCCTGCGGAGTTCGTGATTGTTGGTATGTCGATACTTCGTCAATAGGAGACTTGCGGCTGCTGACCAGGGTACCCCACAGGCGTCGCATTCTTCGACACGGACTTCACCCAAACCGTACGTCTATCTATTTGCTCGAATCTATATTATGTGCTTATGCTGCCGTAGATGTGCAACCGCTTCTACCTCTTCGAGCCGATCACGACGGCCATCCTCCTCGCCTGCTGCTCCTTCGTCCACGTCCTCCGTGTCTACGCCATCCACGACCAAAACAGGACGATCCTCGGCATAATGTCAGCCCTGCTTGCCGTCCAAATCGTCGTGACAGGCATCTGCTGCGGCTTCTACCGCTGTGAGCGCCTATTTTTCCCGTCGCGCATCTAAGCTTCCCGGCTCATCATGATTCGCCCCGCCCCATCAACAGCTGTCCCACTCCTCGACGGCCAAGGATGTATCGCCGGCCCCAAGGCCAACTGGGTCGGCATCTACTGGCTCTCGACGACTCTGGTGTACACTGCGTCGGTATGTGGTATCAGTGCTGGGCGGTACATGTGATCAGGGTTGGCTGATGCGGGATTCGTCATGCGCTTAGCTGTTTTTCGCGACTAGTCGCTCGATCCAGTCGCTGCAGATGAAGCCCATCAGCGCGTGGAAGCTCATGCTTCGCGATGGGCTCAACTTGTACGGGGTACGTGATCATTCGTTCAAGCCCTAGCTCGCCATCTATCGCGCCGCGCGAATCCTCCCACCCATTACGTCCAGCACGCGCGGTGCGCGGCTTCGCGCCACTCCCACCATCTGACTTCTCCCGCCCTTGCCTCACATTACTGCACGAGGACATCCGCGCTAACGTCTGTCTTCGTTCGCTCCGCAGGCTATCTGGGTCGTGAACATGGTCAACATGCTCTTCTGGTTCATCGTCAAGCCGACCGACACGTCCGACACCATCAAGACGACCGTCACCTCCATGACCGCCGTGCTCACCGTGACGATGACGCTCCGCATCATCCTCGCCGTCCGCGGCGGGCTCGCGCGCGGCGGCACGTTCGCGGGCGCATGGTCCACCTCCTCCGGCACGCACTCCCACTCCCACTCGCGCGGCACCGCCACGAACCCCGCGCCAGGCAGCGTGTTGCACATCCAGAGCGGCTCGGCGCCGACGTATACGATCGACGGGCTGAACGGGAAGAAGCAGCCTGGGTGGCCGGAGCCGATGCAGGGCGGGAAGGCGCTGGAGAGTAAGGAGGGGAGGATGTTGGGCGAGGAGGGGCAGGAGTTTGAGGGGGAGAGGGAGAGGCCGGTTAGTCCGAGAGGACCGGTTGGGTTGCCGGGCGTGCAGGTTACGGTGCAGAGGGAGGTCGTTGACCAGCCCATGCACTGAGTCCCCGACTTGAGATGAGATGCGGATGTGCAAAGCGGAAACGACTCGATCTATGGTGTACTGGTCTGGCTTGGTTCTCGGTATCTTATTCTTGTGCATGTATCCGTTTTTGACCATCTTGTGAAGGCGCGCTATGCGCCCCATCTCTTGTCTGCTTGATTTCTTGCCTTCTTGAGTTTACGCTTCGACTCGCTCTTGTGTTCACGATCCCTTGCCTCGCCCCCTCCCTCCTCTTTATTTTACTCCGATTATTCTTGCGCTCGCGATGCCAGTTTGACATATAGTGTTGTGTACGAATACCATGTTTTTGGTTCACTGTGGTCCTCAAGCCTGAGGCGGGGCACGCGGGTCGGAGGTGACAGGTATGCATTCCTTGCTGACGCTGTCAGGTATATGTTCGTGTCATATTGCGTTTAGGTCGCTTGCTCTTACTCTTCATCCTCCCGCGGAGCATTGACCGCCCCGCCGCCTACTTCGTGAGTGAACCATACACCGGCCGCCGGTTCATGTTGACTGATGCGAACACAGATCCTACCAGCGCATACCTCGAGATACCTCCCCTCATATCGACCCACCCAGAACGACTGATACGATGTCTCTATCGACGCTTTTGGGCCTCGGGGTTGGCACAAACATGCTCCTTGGCGTTGCACAGTATCAGGCACAACGTTCGACTTCTGAACCGTGGCGGGTATGTTTGAATCTGCTTCTTGTATGCGGCGAAAGGCGCTAACTGGATATTTCGCTCTAATAGGGATCGCGCCGCTATGATCCTTACGCTGGTGCCCGGAAGAAGTCGACTAAGAGGAGAGCGAAGGTGGACGACAATGATCCTATGATGGACTGGGGAGGCCTGTCCTCGGAGGGTCGGGCCAAGTATATGGTCACAGCGGTGGACGCGTCCGTATATCACTCGTTTCGGAATGGGACTACCCATGATAGTGATGGCCCACGACAGCAGGTATGTTCTCCGCCGTATACATGTGGCGATCAACTGTGCTAATTGGGGCCATGAAATAGAGTTCGAGTTCGAGTTCACAATCACAGTCGCAGTCGCGTGCTCCGCGTTCCCATGTAGTCACGGACACCACGGCCCTGCTCACGCAAACTATCTTTCGTACATTCGTCGAGCGCGTAAAAGAGCGCAAGACCGCGTTCAATGTTGCCAGGCTCACGCTCACGCATCGCTCTTCTCAGTCGACGCAGAGAGATCAAGTGCGGCTGCTCATTTCAACGCATACCGGATGGGCACAAGAGCCGCTCGAGCTCGTCGTCACGGACAAGCACGACTCTATGGACATCGTCGATATCGTACAGACGATCTTCGATTCGCTTCGCTCGGTGGCGGAGTGCAGGATCAAAGAGCTCGAGATCGTCATGCCTTGCCTTGAGTCCTGTGCGGTGGACGACCACCATTGCGGATCCGATGTGTCCGGGATGGGTCTCGAGCGGGCGTTCGAGCTTTGCTCGGAGGTGAAGCACCTCGAGCTACGCGGTCCTGCTGTTCGAGCGTGCCATCTTGTCGTGGACGGTGCTCTCCCGCTGCTGAGGACCCTCGTGATCAAGGACAAGTACGCGTCCGAGGAAAAGCTGGAGAAGCTGAGGGTGTTCGTTGAGCTGGAGCGTCCTTACTTGGCTTGGAAGACGGAGACGGCGAAGGAAGAGGCGGAGGAGGACAGCAACCCGTCGGCATATCAGCGTTGGAGCAGGAAAGGCTCTGCTTACGACCACCTCTTCATAGGCACCGAAGCATTTAAAATGGCCAAGCAAGCGCTCGCAAACAGAGCTGCTGCTGGAGAGCTGAGTCCGACTTTGTCGGAGCGAGATGACTCCCCGACTCCGTAGGTTTTGTGTATCTCTTGTCTTGTTACCGCACAAACTATACTGGTACAGACTAGATCTTGAATGATATGCATCGCGATCTTTCCGAGCTGAAGCTTAGCGAGCGGCGCCGCGCGGCGGTCGGGTCTGGCGGCGTGAGCCGTTCTCGGATGAGGACGTGTCGCCGAAGGTGGATAGCCTGGCTTCTTGCTTTAGAACTCGTTCTTTCGGACGGGCACGCCGTGGAGGATAGGATAGATGAGCTTATGGTGTGCATCGTGCTGGCGCCTCTGGAGGAAGACGATGCATGCAGCGTTGAAACGGGAGGTCAAGGAGCAGATGCCGCCGGCGAGCGCTCCTGGTGGTTGTTGGTACGTGTTGAACCTGGATCTGATGGGTGGATTTGGACTGACGTAGATGCTGTAGGGCGGTTGTTATGAAGGAGGGCTTGTTGCCGGGCGCGGAGGGATATGCCTCGTTTGTGTCGGACTCACAACCTCCGACGGCCCGGCGCGTTCACGCTGAGCGCCGCGTCGCTTGGAGCGCAGAACTATGTCGTAGTCCCCTACTATGAGTAGCGTATACTTGATCTGCATACCCACAAGCCTTTCATACTGTGACAGTCTGACACATGCATGGCCGGGAGTATGCTCTGCTATTCGTAGCCGGTCCGCGTTTCGACGCCGCGCGCCGTTGGCGCGCCGAAACGTATGCGCCCAATCAAGGACACTCTGTACACAGACATCGCCCGTAAAAGCTGACCTCCTTCCCTTTGGGTGCTTATGTCATCGTCTTGTAGCACTATATGCGCATATATGAAGCGAATAAGCCTGAGCCGAACAGCGTGCATCAGTTGTGGCCCAGAGTGGTCCGGCAGTCCGGCGCGGAACCACGAGGCGGCGCCGCTCTTCCAATTTGGTCAGGAACTCAGGCGCCTCTTACTCTCGTGAGCTCCTCGTCCAGACCACACGCGCCCGTGCACGCCCTCTATCGCGCACCGTCTTGCTTCTTACCATCATCATCCTCAATATCTCTACGCTTTGACGCGCCGTAACGCGTCGTGGGGCTCATTGTGGACGCGTCTGTCCGCTCAAGTTACGGGCTTATTCTCTAATGATGAGTCTCGGGAGTCGTGCGAAGGAGGACCGTGACGCTCTGGGTAAACTACACCAGATTTCATCTGGCACTGCGCTTGTACCCCGAAACCTTCGAGATGCGTCAGCGGCCGCAGGCTCGTCGTCAAACCCGTGCGTGGTGTAGAATTCTGCATTATTCCGCGAATTAACATGTTATGTCAAGGCAAGGAGCATGGAAGCAACCGGCGACTGAGATCACGCCCCCTACACCAGTGCGCTTGCTTGATGTATATCATCATGCGTTTTAGACTAACGTCGCTTTTTCAGGGACAACGACAGGCTAGTACGAGGAAAGGAAACCCGTTCAACGCGGCGGCCATAAGAAGCACGACGAAAGGCCGCACATCGGCTTCCGAACGCGCGCCGACTTTACAGAACACGCGTACAGTATTATCAATGAGCACAAGCGTGAAGCCAGGGGATGAATATGTGGAGGGCCGGGCATCCAAACGGCAGAAAGTCGTAGAGCGTGATTACCGGGCGGCTAGTGGTCCCATGTACAAGAACTCTGGTTACTTGTACGTACTCCCCTGCATCACTGGACACGCATCCTCAGATCTTGATTCAGTAAAGATGGCCAAGCGGGTAGGAATAAACCTCAGGGAAAGAAGGCGATGAGGGGTGGTGCGGGTCCTGCGAGATCAACGCGTTCAAGCGTCAACCTCAATAATGGGCAGCCAGAGGCTTATGAAGTACCCGACTCGGACGAGGACAGAGAGGCGGACCGTCGAGCATCGTACGTCATTGCCCGTCGTGAGTTGCATCATCTAACTCCATACAGAAAGAAGAAGGGGAAGGGGAAGGCTTTACCAGACGAGGAGGACGAAGATGTGGTCGAGGTAGTGTCAGGGTCGACACCTCACATGGATCGTCCGCCCGAGCCACATTTCGACTTCAATGCGAGCGACTTCGATCCAAATGACTTCGATCCGGGCTATGCAAGAAGCAGCGCTACGCCCCCGGCAAGAATATCTGACTTGCGACCGTCGAAGGCTACTGCTATGTCGGACGATGAAATCGATTTACTCACTGCCGACGATAAAATGCGTGCTGGCCCTGCAACTGCTCGAGTCCAGGCCGCGTTAGGTGACGTTTCCAGTGCTACTGGTCGAGCGCGGACCCGCGGACCCTCTCAGCCCATCTCCAAAGTGGCGGCAGGTCCTGCAAGAGACGTGGAAGTGATCAGCAGCGACGAGGGCGAGGCAGAAATGCAGCCAAAGAAGCCTAAGAAGCGGATGAATACGCCAAACAGGACTCCTATGCCAGACGTCCAGAACATTGTACACAACATCGAGAACCACGTGGTCTCTGCCGTCGCAAGTTCAGCGCCCATCAAGACTCGCATGCAGGCTAAGAATGCTCGTTCGGACTGGGGATCTGTGCCCGGTGGTAGGATCCAGACGCCGGAGGCTACTTCGTCTCTGGCTCCGAAGAGAGACTTGGTACGTTCAATCAATCCCCCAAGTGAGACGTGCTGATGGACTGATACCCACTCTGCAGTCCAGTCTGAAGTTCACGAAGACCAAGACGCCTGCTGCGTCTGATCCTATTGCTACGGCCCCAACACCTTATGTCAGAAATGCATTAGTCGCCTCGACGTCTGCACCTGCTTCTGGCTCCGGAGACTCCAAACTCATGAGCGAAGAGCGCGAATCCCCGTCTGTTCGACGCGGCGGGCCCACGCCTATCTCCATTCCGTCCGGCTCAGCGGATGATCTGGAAGGGTCCCTGCCGCTCAATTATTGCGCAATAGGCTTCAAGGAACTTCAGATTCCTGAGGACGGCGGTGACGAGTATGGCGTTGCATTGACGAGGAAATTCCAAACACTGTCTGTCTGGAGGCGCTCCAAAGGCGAACGGCAGGCGATCAATCTGTTGGAAGTACCTCTCAGGGAGCATAAATTCGAAAGCGCCGCTCTCACTTTCAGTAATCAGGTATGTAGACTGCTACACGGAAGTCTCCTGTGCCTCATCGATCGACAGAAAGCGAAGATAGAGTTGCCAATGATCCAACTTGCAGGCTTTTCCTTGGACTGTCGCCTGGGTGGTACATTGAGGGACGTGATAGACAGGGGTGAGTCATTTCTGTGGTAGAAATTGTCTACTTCGCTTATTGAAGGCAGATAACGGGCGCGGCGGGAACTCACTGACAGTGGTATTCGACATAACCGATCCGACATGGGACGAGCGTTTATATTACAGAGTCATGAAGCATATCAAGGAGATAACGGCCATGAAGATCACACAGGTTGAGAAGTGAGTCTAATTACCGAACGCAACGGGCCATCTCTGATGTCGCGAAGGGCTGCCGCGAGGACCATCCTGAAGCTTCATCGGGACCGCTGCGAGATGAGTTCTCAATACGAGAAACGGACAGCAAGAGCGTCAGATCCTGGACCTAGGAAGCCACGTCCCATGCCTAGGCAGACCAAGATCAAAGGGTATGCGCCTACTTTGACGTTGCAGCTGCGTGCTCACCTTGGAATGCTAGGTCTGGCGGTCAGATGACTCTAGGGACTAGCATGCAACAGATGACACTGACACAACCACCTCGACGGTCAACTCGGTCCTCTGGGGCGAGCACCATGCCCGATCGCGGACCCATGCCTGACGCTGATGAAGTGTATGTACGCTTCACAGGTTACTCCTCCGCAAGGGCTCATTTTTGTGACAGGATTCTGGTGTATCCACCGAGCGGTCGCGGGTCAGTCAACATCACCCATGGTGATCTTGGACGGCTCGCACCCGGTGACTACCTTAACGACTCGCTGATCGAGTTCGGTCTGAAGTACGTCCAACTGGCTTGCTGTGATGATGCTCTGTTGACGGCGTTTGTAGGGTATGGCTGGATGGTCTGCGCGACACGCAACCTGAGCTAGCGAATCAAATTCACGTATTCAGTTCGTTCTTCTATAAGAAGTTGGGCGCCAAGTGAGCAATCCCTATCTACCTTGCGATCTATCGTACTAAAGCGCTCCGGAAGCGTGGATACGGGTTACGCCAGCGTACGAAAATGGACGTCTAAGATCAACATCTTCGAGAAGAAATATCTGATCATACCTATCAACGAGAAGTACGTTTTCGTCAGACCTATGTTTGCTACACTCATTGATCACGCATCTAGCTTTCACTGGTATCTCGCTATCGTATACGAGCCCGGGCGCGTTCTTCAGCCACATACACCATCTCAAGCCCGCCAGTCGACAAGGCTAAAGGGAGACAAACCCGATATCAACCTCGCGGACTCTCAGAACTCAATCGTCGAGGTGCAACCTGTTACAGAGGCTAGCGATGTGGTCTTGACGTCACTTTGTGCTGGATCGTCTGGAGCTGGCGGCTTGCGCACGAACGGAGACGCGAGGGACGAGATGGAAGTTGATAGGGAGTTAGCGCTGGCGACGTTGGGTTCGAACACATCCTCGCTCACCGGTGAGGAGGAGGAGGAGAAGGACGAACTGGTCGATGAGGATCTCTCCCTCGTATATCCGGATGGGTCGTCGCCTGGGCCTGGTCAGCAAGACGTGGAGATGCAGGATGTGTCTCAATTGGGGGAGGCAGGTCCTTCCCGCGCGCCAAGCAGTTCTACAGATACGCTGGACGGTCCTTCCCCTGCGGACGCATCGGGTAGAGCGGCGAACGCCGCACTCCGTGTCACGAATGGTGCTGTTCCGGCCTCGAATTTCTATGCGCCGCCTGCACCGCGCGTGGATATAAAGGGCAAGGGCAAGGCCCAGGCCTCGGACCAGTCCGCTCAGTACCTTGACCTCGACGACGACGATGACAAGGCGACATCTCAGGCAGCGTCGATAGGCATGACGGCCGAGGACGTCCAACCTAGTGTGGATGATGCGCCTATCAATCCCGATGAAACGCCGCCGACGTATATCTTCACCTTCGACTCCTTGGGCGGACGCCACCCCGCGGCGGGGAAGAAGCTTGGCCGGTATCTTCATCTTGAGGCCCATGACAAGCAGAGCAAAGACCTTACGACGCTCTCGCCATGGCGGTATATGTTTGCTCAGGTATGCTTACGTCACGCTGATTATGCGATTCATGTGAGGCTGATACAGATGTCGCTAGGTTCCCACGCAACCGAACTCCTGCGACTGTGGTGTATACCTTCTCCATTTCGCCAAGCAGTTCATGCAGAATGCCGAAGACATCGTGACCTATGTCACGGTGCGTACCTTCCCGCTTATGTTTGACGCGTGTACTAAGCATGCCACAGACTAAACAGGCGCAGAGTAAGGCCAAGAGTGCTGTACCCGATGAGCATTGGGATCCCGAGGCAGTCACGCGCGCTCGCGAATCGTTGAGAGAAATCATAGAGGAGAAGTCCGCCATATGGAAGGTCGAACGTAAGAAGGAGCAGGATGAGAAGAAGGAGAAGGAGGAGGCAGAGCGTGCTGCTGCCGCTGCCGGGACTGGAGAAGGAGCTGAAGGCGCCATCAATATCGACTCGGATAACTCGGACGACGATATTCAGGTATTGGACGGTCCGTCACCGAAGAAGCCAGCCAAACGCAAGTCGACGGGCGGCAATAAACAGACGTATTCGAAGAGAAAGAGGTGATGGCTTCGGTCTCTCAGTTCGCACTGATATTTTGGTCATTTTCTATCTCGTCTCATCACATATTTCTTTTGCTCTCTCATGGTCTTCATCAATCAACGCTGCATTGTACAATCACTCAAGTTTTATCGCTGGTACCTATTAGACCACATCGTCTACCTTACGCGCGCTATATCCCCTTGACATCCTCCACCTAATCTACCGTCGCCTTTCTCTATACCATCGCTGTTGAGCCAGTACCGCATAGGCATACAGTGACCGAGAGCTATTGAGGATCAACGGGAAGTAGGCTGACAGCGTCCCGGACAAGATGCTTGACCTCAAGTAGGGGGATCGCTTCGGGGACGGCCATCATGCTCCAAGGGCTCGGTAGGATGGAGACAAGCGAAGCTGCGGGTGAGGCGGATCCGCTGAAAATGCCGACCACAGGGAGCGCAAGTTTCACGAACATCCCAGTGGGAGAAGGTGGCATTCGTGGCTCTAGGAGGTAGTCCCCGGCTCCGGTCAATGACAACATTGTGGCTGCGAAGCGGTCATTATCTACGGTGAAATGTCGTCGGGAGAAAGACGCACCTGAGGCGACAAGACTCTTGTGGGAGGTAGATGGCGCACATATATGGGCTAGAGAGCCGAGCGAGCTGAATAAGTTGGACCGTGGCGAGGCAGAGAGCTTGTTTGCGGGTAGCGACCGAGCTCGCTGCAAAGGTGCGTTGACCGCGCCACCACGCATCGAAAGGCTTCGACTGCGAGCCATCTTGCCAGAGCCAGCGAGGCCGGCTGTCCAACTGACAAGAGAGGCAAAGCCGAGCCCGACGGACGGTGGCTCTCTCCGAGAGAGTGGCTTTTCGTCGACAGACCCGGAACGCTGGTCTATCATGATTTCGACGGACGTGGCAGGTGAGTTCGGCGGGTTTGCACAAGGGAACAGGTCTACAGGTAGATGAGTTCCGTCTTGAGAGAACTGTGTGAGAGCCATACGTACCCTCTTCAGACAGAGCATCTCTGAGGGTGTCAGCCGTCATCGACATCTGTATCGCCTCGTCTTGATTCGCGCCCTCGTGCTCGCGGGAAGAGTCTCCACTACGCCGAGCGTCTCTTTGACGCCAGAAACGGCTCAAGCGAGCAGCAGAGGTAATGGCGGACACAGCTTTTGAAGGAGCAGCAGAGAGCTTCCGGCGTATGGATCGAATGTTCGACTCATGTCCGAGCGAGGGACGAGCGAAAGTCGAGTTCGAGGGTCGGGAGGGCAGCGGTGTACGCCGGACTTGGCGGCGAGCGGCGACGGCGAGCAGATGCACGGCAATTCTTTTCATAGTCGTATGCCGAGAATATGTGCCGGGATAGATGCGGGCTAATGCGGCGTCTTCGACGTTATATCTGCCAGTCTCCCAGGTCTTGGACTAACTTCCGGCACACCATCCTTAACGAAGGACTGGCCCGATATCTGCCCACTTTCCAAAAGACTCTCACATGAGGTGATGACCACTCAGCGAGACTGTATGCATGATGTTGGCAACAAGATGTGGGGATGAGGCGGTCGATGGTGGTTCAAGTCAAGCAGGAACGACGCCGCGCTCACGTCCATCCCTACGGCACATACCCGATTTCAGATAAAACAAGATATATTCCAGGTACAGACCAGAGTCTAACAAGATACTACAGAATCAGAAGGAGAGGCGCGTGCATTACTTAATATAAGGAATAACATGTAGATCCACAATGAGCCCGGATGTAGAAAACGAATCACTGAGCCATGACGGGTGGAGGAGGCGGAGGAGTGGTAGGCGCGGGCGGAGCACGAACGGTCTTTACGACCGCAGGTGCGTGATGGTGATGCGCCGGCTTGCGCTGCTTCTTCATGGGTTGCCACAAGTCGGGCGGTGCTGCGTGGACAGGCGGAGGAGAGTCGGGGATCTTGGGCGTCAGCGGCGAGGGAGGCGCGGCTGATTCGTCCTCGATCGACATAGACTGCATCGACGCGTTCACGTCGATGGACATGGGAGGGGAAGCGTCCATTTGCGGCTCGGGTGCCATGGTGGACTGCATCGACTCGCCCATCGTGGGCTGCATTTCGGAGTGCATCGCCATGGAAGGCTGCATCGACGCAGGCATAGCTGAGTGCATAGTCTCCTGCATGGCCGGCTGCATCGACTCCTGAGCCATAGGCTGCACAGTCGCCTGCGAGGATGGACGCACGGCACCAGACACCAAAGCTAACGCGGCGGAGGGCGATAACATCGGGGGAATGGTGGGGGCCGCCTGAGCGTCGGCAGACATGGTCTCCGGCTGCAACGCGGCCATCATCATAGGTGCAGCAGGCGCCATAGTCTCCGGCTGCATCGTCTCCGCCATCGGTGCTGGTGCCAAAGAGCGCAGAGGTTGAGCGGGTTCATCCCACACAGATGGTTGCGTCGGAGCCATCATAGCCGCGGGCTCCTGAGGCATCATCGCCATCGGCGGCGCGGCTTCCGCCATAGCCATCGGCGGCGCGGCCGGCGCTTGAGCCATTGCCACCTCGCTCGCGGGAGCTTGCGGCGCCATACTAGGTTCCTGTGCTGCCATGGCGGGCGCCGGCTGCGCTTGCGCCTCCATCATCATCGCCTGTTGTACCTCCGCCATCATCGCTTCCGGCTGCGTCATCACAGCCTGCATCATCTCCGTGAGCATCGGGACGTCCTCGGGTGCGGCGGTGGCAGCCATTGTAGATATCATCTGGGCAACGTCCTCGGCGCGCTGAGGGTTCTTGCCATTGCGACGGAAGAGCTTCACGAGGGCGGCGGTGATGGCGGATGGAGCGGTTCGAGCAGCGTTCTCGTCCTGGCTGTTGGAGTGCGAGTGCTGAGAGCGAGAGCCGCTGAGTTTGGAGCCGATGCGCTTGAGGAGGTTTGAAGACGCCGAGCTTGAACCCGTCTGAGTGCGATCCAAGGAGACACCCATGGGCGCTGCTGATGCCATCAACATGGCGCCCTCACCTTCCGAAGTCATCGAAGTGGCCATGCTGGACGCGCCGTCCGTGGAGCTCATCATGCTCGAAGCTGCGTCGGAAGAGTCGGCCATCATCGCCATACCCGTCGCGTCGACGCTAGGCTTGCGCTTCGTGTTCTTGCGTAGGAGCGCGCGGAGGCCCTTGCGTTTCTCGGGCGTCATGGCATCGGCCATCTCCATAGCTGGAACGGTGTCCATAGCCTCAGCCATCATCGGTGCTGCTTCGGGAGCCATAGCGGCGGGAGGGGCTGCCATCGGTGCGGCCGCTGGCGGGGCGTCCATGTAGGCGGGAGGACCAGACGCAGGAGGCGGTGCAGATTCGGAAGGCGCGGCGGGCGGAGGAGCCTGCTCCATTGCCATCGGGGCGCCGGCCATCGTCTCAGAAGTCATAGTGGACATATTCGTCGAACCGGTCGAGCGAGAAAGGATCGTAAGGGTCGTGTTGATTGAGGAAACAGAGCCCTCGACAGCGATAGATATATCCTCGGAACGCATCAACTGCGGGACGATGTCCAAGTGTGAAGGCGATGCCAGTCCATCAATACTCTGTTGCAACGGCGATGCGATGATCTGGTTGGAGACTTCATTGGGCGGCTGCTGTAGATGCAACATCTGCCAGCGCGCGCAAAAGCGGATGACGTGCTCGATCCGAAGGCGAAGGCGGTGCGAGGTACCTCTCGCGCGAGAGATGGGCGGGAATGATACGCGATGCTGGGACGGCGCCGCGGCTGACAGCGGGAAAGCGTCCGCTGTTGTACGAGATGGGTCGGCAAAGCGTGCTCAGGGGTTAGGAAAGTCAACGCACCTGGGACGATGAACCTCAGGACTATGGGGTGAGATTGGAAACGTGTCCCAGCCGGGCATATCCATCGGGCTTTGAGGGTGACCCAACTCCACAGCGAGCGTTCCACCGAGTACAAACTCGGGTAGCAGGTCTTTAGCGCCGGGAGAAAGGAGGTCTGGAGATGCCGGTGACAGCGGGATCTTCTCGTCGTAATCATCAGAGAGGTAGATGGGTGAGCTCGCGGACGAGTACGGCGAGGAAGACGATGGAGAGCTTGATGAGGACTCGAATGAGCCGTACGAGTAGCTTGCCGAGCCGGATGTAGAGAAGCCTGAACTAGAGGAGCTCGCGGAAGGCGAATACTCGGAACTGAATTGGATTGGGAGAGTGGTCCGGATATCCAACGCCGTGAAGAACGTCGGTTGCAACGGTGTGACGGGAGTCTCGGGAAATGAGTATGTGGGAGATACTGGTGCGACATCAAGTTGGGGGTGAGCTGAGTCGCCAAAGCAAAGGTGGAAGTCGAGGTCGGAGACATCTTGGGAAGAGGTATAGGTTGGAGTAGATGATGAAGCGAAGCTGCTGCTCGACCGTCTGCTCAAAGGTGGAGAGTTTTGCAAGAGATCTGCTGCCATGACAGAAGGATGCGAATATGGACAAATGGCGCTACAGAGAACAGTCAGGTTTGAATCCAATGTGTTGGCTGGATTGACTCACCAATAGAAGAGGGGAAGGTCGAAGATCTAAACACCTTCTATCAGTCTATGTTCCATGTACTAGCTCAAAGTACGCACTTGGGGCAACAGAGAAGAAACACAAACGAGGCCAACAAGAAAGCAAAGGGGTTGACTGCGACAACCATAACCTCGAGCAGGTCTATTTAGCAAGCCGCAAGAGGCGCGCATGCCTGCGTCGGGGTGCCGTCAAGCGTTACCACATTTTGCAGACATCACCGATGTACGTTGGTCGATCATGCTCAATTCGCTCCGAAGGCCGCTGTCAACCCTCAGAACGTGGAAGTAGTCAGGGCTACGCAGGCAAAAGTCAGTGTTTGAACGCAGTAGGTTACCAGAGGGCGTCCTAAGAAGGACCAAGCGCCCACGGTCGCTGACTTGCAGACTGTGCGGTTTCCCTTCCGGCCTCCGACGACGCACGAGCACTCAGACGCAGTAGACCACAGTCTATTCCAAGACATGTAGTGCCCGACGAGTATGGTGGATTATACTCCCTCGGATCCCAATTGCACTTGACGTCGGCCAAATGATTCAAGGGTAACAGGATTAGACGCGTCGCCAAGCTGAGTTCGCAACACCGGTCCGATGAATAGGTGTTTATGAGACCGCATAGACTTTCTTGAAGCCAAGTATATATTCCCGTACGTACACCCCGAAGCGGGAATTGGCAGTAGGCGTGATGCGTGGTAAAGTCGCGACAACCAAACCGCGCGCGAGCACTCGCGGCCAACGCCGTGAGCACGTTCCCACCCGCTTGTCGCCTTGTCTCCTCCCACCACCACACCGCTGTGACGAAACGTCGCAGTTCGTCCCCGAGGGCCGTTGTTCGCCTGCGCAAACTACTTTTTAGGATCCTCGGACCGGAAGCCCAATTGCAGTGCTGCCCTGATTTGCCGCGGTGACCACTGACAGCTTTCCTTCGACGCGACCTCATGACTTCGTTTATTATCGACGCGCACAAGGATCGGCCTCAGCATCCATCTTGGGGGCACAATGACGACTGCCCGTTCTGCAAGATTGTCACACACTCTGCTCCTGCTTATAGACTCTATGAGAACGATCGCGTCGCAGCATTTCTAGGTGCTCGGCGGCGCACTCTGGGGCGCGGCGGACGAGGCTGACGCATGCCGTCAACGCAGATATTCTCCCACTGAGAGCGGGGCATACGTTAGTCGTCCCCAAGGTGCACTGCGCACGGGTCTCTGAGCTACCGGAGGACTACGCTGCGGCACTCGGCGCTGCTGTGTCGAAGATCGCCAAAGCTCTGACTCAAGGCGAGTGCGAGGCGTATGCTCCCGCGATGTAACTGTTGGACTCACGCGACGGGCATCTGCTTCCCAGCTGTCAACCATACCGGTTTGAACGTTGTATGCAATCAAGAGTACGCTCAAGCCGTACATCACGTGAGTCGAGCCCTTTCGCCTTGCACGAACTCGGATTGATCGGCACGATGCGTATGCAATAGGTGCACTATCACATCATCCCGGCACCGAGACTTAATGAACCCTCTGAGGCGAAGGTAGTCATGCCCGAATCGACGATTGCCATGCACCAACGGGAGTATGAGGCTCGTAACGACCTCGACGAGGACGAAGCACAAGAATTGGTCGAGAAGATTAAGGCGCATCTGTGACTTCGTCTGCGACATTGGTCTCCACGCTGCTTTCAAGGATTTCCCGCCATCCTGAGATGTACAGATTGATTTACAGACTAGACCTGTGTGACATGTATTCTATATCTTAGGTCACCGCTATTTCGGACCGGGTCAATGTACGCTTACCTCCATACACGATCGCTACCGTGTTTATTCACCCTCTTGTCCCTTTCTTACTTCCCTACCCGTAAATGAAGTACAGCCACCCTCCGGTAATCGGACCGTATCCAAGTATACTGGGCTGAGACTACGCCGTTGCCTTCGGCCACATAATTACGGCAAGTACGCGCAAACGTACCCTTAGCCACAGTGATCGAGCTCGCCCACTGCCCCGATTGCTAGCCACGTGGGATTCGGCCCGAGTGGCCGATGGTTGCAGCAGCGCGATCGGGTGAACGCGAAGTGTTCACCAAACCATCATGTCGGCTCAACGTGTTCCTCTCGAGAGCCTTGTGCAGGCATGGCTTGAAGCCGACAAGGTGACATTGAACCATTGATGAGCCTATGCTGCGAATCTGAGGCGTACGACGCGGCTTGTAGAATCCGGAAACACGAGAGGAGATCGAGAAGCTCTGGAAAGATGGTCAGACGGCTGAGCTCGAGAAACGGTTGAGGTTGGGCGGATATCGTCTACTGTGAATCAAAACTTGCTCAGAAATGGAATAGGACGCGTATTGAGTTTGGTACCGCAGGTGAATCTGCGTCCAGCTCGTCTCGGACGCGCTGGCCTCAGCTCTTTCACTTTCAGGCCTGCGTGGACGTATGGAAGCCGGCTGGTCTCGCATGAACGATCTCATCATCATTCAATCGTCTCAGGTATGTTATGCTCACCTTTGATTTGAGACCGTTGTACTGAGCCGTGTACAGGGCCTGTGCGAATACGTCCTGCAAAATGTCTCCGACGCCACTTCCCGCGGCATCGTCGTCGGACATGACCACCGACACCACTCCTCACACTGGGCCAAGCT